ATACGACGTACCTTGTCTTGTCTTGTAATTTACCATCCTATCAAATGATTGAATGAACTAATATTTGATTAAGCTTATGGTTTAGATCGTTATTAAGAAGGTGGGCGCTTATAAAAACAAAAAGACATCTTATAGATGTGGATTGTCTTCTCGAGTTATATTGAACATAGCAGGATGTGCTAGCATAAAGGTTGACGTCTCCAATATAAATATCATCAGTTCTTCTAAGAAAACTACGGAATTATAAACTTATTGACATTGATGCGTATGGTTGTAAAAGCATTTGTAGAGAGAGGTGATAAACTAAGACTCCTTATGTGAAAACGACCGGGCAGTCTTAATTTACCGAGGCGAAAATAATTTTTCCATCAACTGGATATCTAGTAAAAGATGGTAAACGCGTCAACTTGGGAAAAAGAGACGATTGAACATGTGTATCCAGTGGCTTTGAAGTGGACGTGGGTGCTATTGACGCTGGCCGTGTCTGCACTTACGGTGATGGGCAACTTATCTCTTATCGTTGTTATACTTCGTACAAAAGCACTGAAGACTTTTACAAACGCCTTCATTTTGTCACTAGCAGTCGGAGATTTACTAAAGGGAATCATTTTGATGCCGTTGATAGCGATTTCACACAGGTCGGGAGAAGTGTTATACGTATCAGGAGTATGCCAATTCACAGCTTATTTATCAATGGTTTTTGAAACATCTTCGGTGCTCAATTTAACATTGGTGAGTTTGGACCGATGTATTGCGGTAGCATCACCGTTGAAATACTCAATCAGGATAACATGGAAGTCGACATTGCTTTTGATTCTCTATATTTGGATCCACGCTGCTGTTTTTGCTCTACCTCCGTTGTTTGGTCACGGGTTGTATGTATTTCAGCAAGATGTTGCTCATTGCACGTTGGATATGAAGAGCCAGATGCTGTATATCATAATGGAAGAGCTTTTCTGTAAGTTTATACCAGGGACTCTGATAATGATTCTATTGGTATTGATATTAAGGGCAGCGTATGCGCAGAGAAGGATAATGTCTCTGATGACAATGACAATAGGAGTGACGCTGGGATTGACAATGCATAACCAGGCTCCTATGAACTACAGACGAACTACTCTAGCAGCCATGAAAAACTTATTCTCCATAGTGTTAGCCCTTGGCCTTCTATGGACGCCATACACAATAATACGAATCCTAAGCCTTCCAGAGGGTGTTGAAATTCCACACGTTTTAACGACGTTAATATCTTGGTTAAATTTATTAGCCAGTGCCGTAAATCCAGTCATATTTTCAACAAATAAGAAATTCAATCAAAGACTTCGGGAATTATACTGCTCGTCGAAATGCAGAAATCGCTCTGTAGTTCCGTCTGCTGAACTTACCCAATCAACGTATTTGACACGTGACCCTACAACTGTAGGCCCAGAGAGAGAGGAAAGAAGTCGAGTGGTTCCTGAAGACTTGACGGAAGTGTCGCCTCGACCAACGCTGCAATATGTAGTCGATGTCAAAACTAATACACTTGACATCCCAAAGCTCAAATCACAAAAGCAATCCGATTTGCCTCCAATTAGAAGTCATCGGCGACAACAACAAAAGGAGAACGCCACACAAGCGTCTACAAGTCAAATCAATGACGATCGAGAACTCTCGCCTCTTTCACTTCGGATGAAACAGTATAAAGCAATAGATCGTTCTGTTCAGGAAACAAATATCGAAGTTGGTAACCGGACTGAGGTCGAAGACATCATCACAAACAGACCAGCTGAATATGTTCTTGCTCAAAATATTATTAATACCGATATTGAAACCACTGCTAGTGAAACTGATTCTATAAGTCAATCTCAGGGTAAAGCTGATTATATAGATGTGGTGTCATTGAGGGTGCCGCAGTTTCCATACACTTCAAAGCTACAGACTGACGGCTCTCCAAAGTCGAGCACTTTGCAATATGGCAGACGTTACGGATGGACAGCCGGGACAGCAGATGAAAAAAATACTTACACCAAGTCAGATACACGTACCACGCAAGTCTTAACTGTGGACGGACATATAACTTTGCATTAAAGAGAGAATCAGAATTGTTTCAATTTTAGAATATTTTTGGCGCATGTCATTTTTTTTATTTATTTGGAAAACGCTTTTAGAGCAGCGGCACTCAATCGGTGCATCCAATACATCATATATAAAATATAAATAGGATAAAACATATCATGCAAAAGGTCACTAAAACATGCATATGACTATTGTGTGCACTGTACATGTATTTTCTTTAAGACATATTTGTCAAACTTCACGTAATTATCATGTCCCCACAAGATTAAAGTGTCATCTCCCAGAGCCCAACATGTTTTTAGTTGTACACTTCCTGCTAGGAAGTCAGAGGAGAGTTGGTGGTTGCAGTCTGACGCAACATTATTGAAAAATACATTCCCATCACTACCAAAGTAGGGACAGACAAAAAGTCTATGCTGTATAGTATCTTTAACATTGAGGTTACAAAAGAGACATATACCATTGCCTTTACCCCATCTCTGAAAGTCGGAGCGAAGGCCAAAACATCCCGTGGAAAGAGTCCTTCATGTCATTCCTTGTCATGTCTATTTTCTAAAAATCACGAAAGTTCGAGGAAAACTAAAGATTTTTACAATAACGTATTATTTTTCTATAAGAATGATTACCATTCTTATTATTTGGGAGAATTTAAACATTTCCACCCATTTTGCACCTTGAATCATTAATAACTTCACCAATTTATAACCTATTGGGAATCTTTTGGGAGATATTGTTTTTGATATTGTAAGGAATAGATTGGTAGCTCAATTATACAAGTCGCTTGTAATTTTGTCACCCCCTATAGATCTGATTCTGCCTTTAAATTGTCTACCTTCATTTTCTTTTCTTTATACATCGACTAACAAAAAGTGTATATATCTCTTTAAAATTGATGTACATACTTTTCGCGAGAGGGTCATTCACATAATTTAGTATTCGCCTCGGCTATTTACTAAAGTCAACAACAATAAAAAGCAAAGCAAAGTAATCTTTTCACAACCGGAAATATTGTCGTGTTGTTTTTTGTCTGTTGATCAGTGCACTTTGCATTAGATTGTTCACCTTTATTTTGTATCCAATAATATACAGTGGCGTTTACCTTATTATGATATCCAGGTATCTCAATATTCACCAATCGTGATCAATCTAAGATAATTTCCAGGTGATATTGCCTTGAGTATCTTTGATCGTCCCGGTGTTTAATTTTCTCCACGGAATAGGAATAGCGCACTTTCTCCCTGCTAATAAAAGGCCCTGAAACTTAATGAAAGCTTGGCCTTAATGAAAGGATGTCCTAATTGTTTCTGCTTATCATTTATCAATGCATCTGAGACTTATTTTGGAAGAACTTGTTAAATTAAAAAGGCTAGGGGTGAAGAATGTTGCACTGTTAAGTAGAGCAGTTTCGCGACAGTTAAGATTTTAGAATGGAAAATTTAAAATGACCACCTTAACATTTACCCAGAATGCCTAAAAACTAATCAAATCACATCACTGTTATTATGATGGATGGTGTACCACTAACCAGTATTCCACTAACTCGGGGAAGCGACGAGTTTTCAGACCAGTGGATGGTTCAAAGAGAAACTACGAGGCTTGGTAGGTGTCCAGAAGGAATTGATAAACAAGGTATTATCATGCAAAATGTCACCACCTGTCATTTGTTACAGACCCCGACTGCCGAAAACCGTCCACAAAAAGATGGAGAATATAACATAAACAATATGTCACCAGTAGTTATGGTGACAGAAAATGACTATTACTAAATGGTGTAACTGCTTGTTAAATGTGAAATTTTTCATAGTTCATAGTTCTCATTCTGTTGCGCCAGTAAACATTTCTAAACAATTTCTGCAATTCAATAGTCATGTTCATAATCTCTGGATATATTTTAGAATATTTTTTAAATCTGGCTCTCTACATATTTTTTATCAAATGTTGGAATAAAAATATTGTATGTGCTTGAAATGGCTTCTTACTTCATTGGAAATGTGACAAAAAGTGTATTTCTTGCAATCCCATTGCCGTCTTGAAGTTGCTATAACCAATTACAAAAAAGAAATTTTTGAATGAACACTAGTAAATTATGCAATACTTTGGCTCGTTTTTGTTATTTCCCTTTACTGTTATAGGCAAATTTCATAGTCGATGACATCACTTCCTGTCTGGTGGCTCTAAAGATGGCGACCAACTTGAAATAAATTAATCACTTTTTGTTGACCACATTTTATCACACATTAGTAGAAATAGTTGAGATTCTGGGATTTCGGTCTTTTGACAATGATCAGAAAATCATATTGCGCCTTAAAGGGGCAACAAGGCCTGTAGAGAGAAAATTTGAATTCTGAGCTATCAGGGCAACATTTGGCTTAACATCTTCTTTGACATACCTATTTTCTTAAAATGTACGGATAAACTATCAATTTCAGCATAAAGTAGTGTAAATTCAGTTCAAAGCTTCTATAGAGTTAGCCCAACTTATAGATTTTTAAGATTCACCATGTTTTAAAAGGAATATCAGCTGAAATAATATTCATCTAGGGGGTTTCTATGGAAATAATAAAAAATATATGTTAGTCTTGAAGAAATAACCGAACTTTAATATATTTTGACACTGGTCCATGATCACTGCACTCATTGTTGCACCTTTAAATAGAAGTTGGTCTTTATTCCTTAAAGGGTGACGCATATCGTTTAGCAAATCGAACGCTCGTTTGTGGTGTTTCGGGATCTTCTATTTGTTTATAATAAGGAAAAATTGAAATATCCTCAAAATGGAACAATGCATTTCTAATAGAAGGATTTATATCGGCTGTTGTACATGCATTTTATGAACAATCCAATCTCAATAATGTTTTCAGAATCATCATTTCAATTTACTGAATTTTACAAAACTCCCCTTATATTTCTTAAAAATTGACTGGTCCAGTTGACTCACCTGGAGCCGCCATATTGTTTTTATACGGAAGCTCATCGGACCTCTTTAAATAAATAGAAAATCAGTAGGGTTTGAACCTAAAAAGTTCCAGTCTCTAGATCTGTAAAGGTTTTGGGCATGCTTGCCATTTTACTCATCCTATGCAAAATCCATCACTACACTGTGTGTTTGTTTAAATACTTAGTACAAGACTTTTAGCAATGACTGTACAAGGTGATAATTGGATAATGGGAAAATGATTTAAAAGTATTATCACCTAATCATCACTATATGTACGTATGTATGATATTATATACAGCAGGGGTACGAGGTAACACGAGGCGTATTACAGATTCAATAATTAATAACTTGAGGTTATAACCGTTTTGTTTATTTTAATGTAAACGATCTGTGTGGATTGTGTACAGTTCATAGTGACAATAATCATATTATAAAAACAAATATTGGTGTTCAAACAATGGAATTGAACTCAACGTCCCACGTTGTTGAAAAAATACAGCATTCTGCATTGAGTGAGTCACTAAACGAAAAACAAAGAGATATTGTCCTATTGCCCTACAGTAGGTGTTGCACTCCCAGAATTCTCAGGTATTTTCCAATCTTATGTTCCAATTGGATAATTGCAAGTCCCATGATATAAACATTGAATGTGATGGAATTAACACTGTTTTAACAGTCCATTAGTATTAACTCTGGGTTTCTGTTTTATCTTCTGTTTTTGTTTCTGCCTTAGCTTCTGAAAACAGGAATAAAAATCAATTAATGGTGCCATCGCCAGGAGTCCTCTCAAAATTCCATAATATATCACATATCCACTGGGGAATAAATATCCTATCTAGCAGGAGAAGGATGGATATCTGTCACATTATCTCAAGGGACAGCAACATTCAGAAATTAACATCCTTCTCCTGGTCCTTGAATTTAGCAAATTCATTTTTTTATATTTGTATGTGTATGAACTTTGAAATGTCAGGTGATGGAAGGTCAGTTTTTGATACAAGGGAGATTCTTATGAGAGGCACATGGAATAAACCCTGTATCATAAACCTCCAAGCACATAACACTTAAATATAAATATACACCTTATTTGAATAATTACCTGTGGTTTTTGTATTATCTCCTGTATCTTCATCATCAAACTTTGTCTTTTTTGCCTGAAATGAAAAAAGTGTACATACTTCCGTGATTATTAATTCAAATGGACTAAAATCGGAACCAAATTTGAACTAAATATTCATGAATATTCATGAACTTAACTTGAACTGGAAACTTACCTGAGGTGCATCATCCCTATCCCTATCTCTGCCTCTACCGCCCCTATCTCGTTTTCCACCACGCTGGAAGTTCCCGCGCCTGTCCCTCTGATTCCTTCTACCCTGCTTCTTACGAGCTTGAGCATCTGCCCTGGCTGCAAAGACCTTCTTCCAGTGGGATATCTCGTCATCACCTGAAGGACAGTGGTAACATCAATCAATCACATGACATTCAAAATGGCGGACAACAGTAACTTGGATTCCTATAATATCACAGATTTGGTGGCAACATTTGTTAACCCCACTTTTGTGTGTGATTTCACAGATTTATGATGTAAATTGGAACCATTACATGTCTTGTGAACTAGTTTGTTTCAAAATCTACAAAAAACATTTGATCATACCTTCTAATACAGCACCCTCTATTTTACATCCAGAAATATCAACCTTGTTGTCTTCACAGTCTTTGGACAGTGTGCTCCACACAGCATTGGCGGCACCCTCCTCTTCGAACCTTATGATTGCCTGAAATATTGAAATATATTTATAGTAAAACCTGTGTATATTAAAATATTTTTGCCAAGAAAAAACGTTAAGTGTTGGTAGGTGTCTACATAAGTCAGTAGAGTATGTATGGAGGAACAGTGTCCACTAGGGACAGGTGTTCACTAGAGACAGGTATTCACTGGAGACAGGTGTTCACTAGAGACAGGTGTTCACTAGAGACAGGTGTTCACTGGAGACAGGAGTTCACTGGAGACAGGTGTTCACTAGAGACAGGTGTTCACTGGAGACAGGTGTTCACTAGAGACAGGTGTTCACTAGAGACAGGTGTTCACTAGAGACAGTTGTTCACTAATACAGGTTTTACTGTATTTGTCAAACTTTTATTCAATTATTGGTCAAGCCCAAATCACACAACAGGAAATATCACATGGTATTTACTGGTCGGGCATGTGCCACACACCATATGACAAAGTCCTGGGATTATTGTTGTGGCTCTAGGTGATATTTCACTTGGTCTTTGTGGTCTCACATAAAGGTAATTAATTCAGTTCAGTTATTTAATCTGGATGCATTTTTTCCAAGCTTTGATCAGAATGGATCATCAATATTTCGGGTTGATTAGGGATCAGATTTACTGCTCTTAAGCAACTGATAATTTGGCATTCTCTTCTATAAACCTAGTATTTTTATATATATATATGAGGGAATTAAACTTTTAAAGGGTACAACCTCCAATCCTTACCTCTCCTTCGTCTTTTTCGAAGTCTACCCAGCATACAGTACTGTGATCATTGAAAAAGGCCTTGATGTCATCTCGAGGAGTAGTTCCTGTGAAGCCATTTACTCGTAACAACGCCCCCTTTACCATCATTTCTTCCATTTGCTAGCAGAAAGAAGAAACAATATCCTTAGTTCCATTTAGAGAATGATCAAATCTCTCCCAAATGTTCACATGATTAAAATTTAGTGGAAGCAATGGCCTTTAAGACTGTCAATAGATGGAGAAAAATTCATTGGGTTTTATTGTGTACTTGATATGAAAAAATTGCTCGAAAACCATCCAAAACCTTTGACATTGAACAATAAAAAATGTTTGTCAATAATAATAAATAAAAAATGTGATATATGATTGATTTATGTAGTGAATTTGAAGTTTTAAAACAGTAATATTTACACAGAAACCAATGGGCCAGGTTTGAAGAACAACCCAGTAGAGAAAATTAGTTGACTGCCATCTATACAAGTCCTGGCTCCCATTCAGGGCAGTAAAGGGGCCCATAAAGCATTAACACAAGGTTTATCTTATAAAGAGTTATTGTAATTGTGACAGTTTTATAAAAAATCTAAGTTATCCTTTATTGATCACATAGCTGTATTTGTGATCTAGTTTTACCTTTTCTCGTTCCTCGACTTCTTTTTCTTTTAACCTGAAACATTAATATTTGCAATAACTCAAACATTTTAATGGGTCCACATTCATCATTAATTCCATAGTGCTTTATTCTGTTAGTACAATAACTTTGAAATCTACTTCGTTCTCTTTCTTCCAATAACATTTACTAAACAAGGCATTAAATGCAAATTGTCACCATCTGCCATTTGTTACAGACACAGACCGACCTACACTGTCCACAAAAAAGTTGGTAGACTATAACAATGTCATCACTTGTGTTGATGACATAATAGCTGGGAAGAGTAGAGTATTATATTTAAACCTTTACAACAGTGTATAAGAAACTCTTCATTACTTACTCTCGTTTGCTATTTGCTTCAGATTCAGTCTTCACTTTCTTGTCCCTAATTTTCCTCTTGAAATAATCATCTCTGCAAAACAAATTAATACATGCATTAAAATAACATGTGGAAATCCAAAAACGATTCATGGTCATACTTTCAAGTACACAAATGTAACATAGAACATTGCCATGATAACATACAGTAACAGTGAAATGATCTTCATATCAGGCCTGAAGCCAGGGAGGTGTTCCACAAAAAACTTTTTCAAAATCATGCAGTTTTCACTGTTTTGAGCACTTTTGAAGTGATTTTGGGCTAAAATTAACAAATTTGAACCCCCTGGAAATTTTTTGAAAACTGAACCCACATTGGAAAAAGCTGCCTAAGGGCCTGCATTTAGCGTAACACCTCTCAATTTGAACATTTTTGGTCTCAATTTTTTATTCTCCTTTTGACTTTAAATGTGAGCACCTGCTACTCCAAACACTTATACATTGTTTCATTTGAGATCATAAATATAGAGGATAACTATAAAAAGAAATAAAGTTTGCTGTATAAATTCGATGGGTGGCACATTTTTAAATGTTCAGCAATGACCCTCCCCACATTTTTCAATGGCATAGCCCTAATTCCTTTGAGATTTCTCCTGACACTTACTTTGTGGACTTTACTACATCTATTTCTCCTCCTAGTTTGAGATCTTCAGCCTCCAAGAATTTTTTGGCATCTTCTGCCTGTGCGTATATTGCAAAAACTGAGCCCTGAAAAGAGGAATTCAAATGAAACTTCTGCCTGGACTAAACCTGAAACAGTTTGCAGCGTTCTCAACAGGATTTTTTCTTGAGTGGGTGCAAAATTCTCATTTTCACAATTCAGGCCGAAATTGGTCAAAATATTCCCATTTATATGATGTTTCTCATTTTCAAGTGGGTGCAAATGGATTTTCAGGTGGGTGCAAGCCTATTTTCAAAATCTCAGGTGGGTGCTGCCCCTGCTTGCTTTAATGCTGGGGAGATCAGAGGTTTGTGAGATCTCTACCATGAAAAGCTTGATTATACTTTTGATGGTTTACCTTGAAGGTCTTGTCTTTAGCCCGTCTTAACTGAACTGACTCTACTTTGCCAAATTGTTCTAGCTTTTCCTGAATTGCATCCAGTGTAGCGTCAAGAGAGAATCCTTTCTGAAATACAAACATGGAGAAATCAAAATGGTGCAAATTATATGAGATAATAATACTCCCTCGATCCAGAAAAATGTGTTTTTAAACCTATTTACTAAATAACATTTACACACATATACTAAATATCTCCACCCTGATAAATTTTTGGAAAAATCAAAAAGTGTAACATTTTGTTGGATGCGAATTTCATAATGACATACTGTATTATTAACTAAACTTCAGTTACATAAAACAGTAGCTGATGGTAACATGAAAATATAAAGAGAACAAATGTGAATAAAGTGTTTCCATGTTCAATGTTGTTTAACATACATTGCAAGTAATTCAATGGAGTATTGTTAAGGAGGTGATACACAACATACAGGATATACCAATAAAAATAGGATAAAAGGCAATGTGGAGAAGATGCACTCTTTAAAGAGCAATTTTCCATGATGTAATTTACCAAATATGCCCAAAACTAAGTCAAATGTTGGCATTAGTGTATTCTTGCATCTGTAAAAATTTCAAGTCGAACAGATATTAAGCAGTGTTCCTGGAATTTTTATGATAAGATTTATCAAAATGTGATAAAAATACCTACACAATATACTGTTCTCTTCTTGAGTTCTTCTTTGCGCTCCATAGTATTGGCTGGTAGAGGTTTGTCTGGAGATCTTCTGATCTTTTTACCATCTTCGCTCACCTAGACAGGATTTTCAAAAATAGGGAGGTTAAGCTACGCATTTTTAAGAGAATTGTATGTGAACATGCAGAATTGTGTGATCATCTAGGGATAAGTTCTCCCGTTTGTAGTATTTACTTGTCTGACTGATTTAAATTAAGTTTACACATGGTAAAAGCTGATAAATCTCTTTATATTTGTATAGAATGTACAGAGGTTATTTAATGGGAGGGATTGAATATGAATTTTATTCTGGGGGAAAATATGATATTGGCCAAGGATAAAATGAAAGTTAAAAATAAATAGATTTACTCTGCCATTTATCCAGAACTATATATATCCAGAATTGATCAAAAAGTTTCAATATTTTTATGGAATTAAATCATGTATTTACCTCCATCAATCCAGATGTTGATTTTTTGATAGCCTCAGTTATGACTTCTGCTCCTTCAGATAGTTGTGATAACCTGTTAAACTTCAGCATGGTTTCAAGGGGGATCCCTGTTCTGAGTCAAGGACTTATTTACTATACACAAGCAGTACTATATATGCTATTCCAGACACTAGTAAGCAGCATTATTTTTCATCTTATTTATTCAACACATTTAAGCTTTTGATTTACCGTATTCTCTGTAATTACCGCCCACTCTCTAATAAGCGCCCACCCCGCTTCACAAAGTTCAAGAAACATCGAGGAATCAACAAGAATTGAAGAATATATCAGGAAAAAAATATTTCTCAAAATCCAGGAGCGGGCGATAATAGAGTACTTACCCTAAAACTGCTGTAAACACGACGCGTTTTGTAATTCTATGCATCCTCTCGATACATATCTATCGATGGGTGCTTCCCACACCATACCATGCTAATATTGTCTCCAAATAGTCCATAATGAATGTAGGAATTGTTCTTTATCGGCATTCAGAAATTTCAAAAGCTACTGCGCAGATGTTCTGCGCATGTCAAGGTCGTGAACTTTCTGGTTTCTTTTTAATGTTTCTCGACTTTTACACGACTTTTGCACGAATAATGATGATCTCTCATCAAATTAGAAATAATGTATAACTTTAGATCGATATCCAGCAGTCTCTAGTGGAAATATTGAAGGTAATCGGCGATAATGACAAAGTGGGCGTGCCGGAAATAAATTAGACATAGACGGGTCTTCAACCACTGTCAATATTGTCTAAGCGATCTTTACCGTATTCTCTCCAATAACAGCACTTGTCATATTATTATAAAAATATGTTGAAGAAAATGCATTCTTGTCAAGAAAAATTGCCATACATGAAATTCCTCGGGATTTCTGATTTCTTTCATACATGGGCGCTTATTAGAATGGTCTAAATAATGTATTTTCAATTTTCTAAACGCCCTGGGCGCTAATTACAGAGAATACGGTAGTTGTACGCATATTTCAAGTTAATCATTATGAGAGCAATGTAGTAAACAAGAGTAAATTTTGAGTAATTTTATTACTTCAGTATATGTTCTTCCAAGAGGTTTCAAAAGAGCTCATAACATTTCTTGAAATATTTAAAACCTAAGATGTTTCAATATACAGTACAAAACATGCATTCAATAATGGGAGTATATTGTAATAGAACAGATTAGAATGGGTAACTTAGCCACTGATGCCAGTGACAATAACCATACTCAAACCATGGTTGAATGCCAAATGCTGAAATGGCTCACTTTAAAATTACATGTTCTATGAAAAGGATACATCCCTCATCTGTCTTGATTTCCTGTTGCATGAATCTATCCTTGGAAAGATTGATGTCACCAAAATAGTACTGCAAATAAAAATAAAATGCATGTGTAAGATTTTGTCTCACATAAAGTATTATCCCCCCCCTCATCTTCATCTCTTAAGGTTTGATGTTAAATGTGAGGAGGCACCAAATGAAAGATAAACTATTTATTATTTACATTCAAAAATGGTAATGTTAAATTTTTATGTCTAAAACATACCTCAATTTGTTTTATAATCTTCTTCTGGACATCTGTCACTTCTGTGGTTCCATTTGTTTCGGCCATATTGTTTTTTATAATTAAAGAAAATTCTGAAAAGACAACTCTTTGATGAACATATAGAAAGGTTTACCAAAAATATCAACATTGAAGATATACAGGGTGTCCAAAAAAACAGGACTGTAAGAAAGTTGAATAACTCAGTCAATTTTGCATATTTTGCCTTGAAATTTCAGAATTATTGAGTTCATTCAATGTGAATTTTGTTGTGAAAGTTTGATAATAATCTATCAATTGAGTCAAAAACGACAGCTCCTTACAAAACATGCCCCAAATGTGCAAATCACATCTCTATGCACAATTCAATCCAGTGAACAAAGTTGTTGATGATCCTCCTACACACATGCCTTTCTGAATAGACAAGTTTGTTCCAAGGACAATTGCTACTGGGGCTTACATCGGATACATCCTCCTGATGAAGTGTTACAGCATCCATTGCATTCTGAACAATGCATTGCCTGGGTGGCAATGAGGAAACATGGAATCATCAGTCCCTTTTGGTTCGAAGGTGACTGGGGACTTGCTATCACCATGAACAAGGACCAGTAAGTTCTCACCAAGTTTTGGAGGTCACTAAGCACCAGAAGGGACATCTAAGGAGATAATTAAGCAGTGGTTTCAACAAGCCAATACCACCCCAACACTACAAATGATATGCTGAAATGGTTTAGGCAATGCTTTGGTGGTCAGCTCAGCAGTTGCAGAACGCAAACCATATGGGCAGCTCATTCGCCTGATATAGTTCCCCCAAATTTTTATCTTTGAGGATTTCTCAAAGCCAATGTGTATACTGACAGGCCCCTAACAATCTTAAGAGGGCAATAACTACCCCAATATTTACCATCTACATTAATGTGTATAGGTAAGGGTCATTAACAACTTTTTTTGCAGGATTCGTTTGTGCATAGAGAGGAGAAGTGCCCACTTTGAGCATGTTTTGGAAAGGACTGTAGTTTTTGACACAATAAACAGATTATCATCAACCGTTCAGAACAAAATTCACATTGAATGACCTAAATAATTCTAAAATTTCAAGGCAAAATATGCAAAATTGACTGAGTTATTCAACTTTCTTACAGAAACTCATGATAGGCACACAAAACATAGGTTCATAGATGCATCTGTAGGCCTTTATCAATATATCTGAGATAGATGGGGTCTGAGGTTACAAGTGCATATGCTGCCATTTCATTTTTGCAAAGGTTCAGTGACACGAAACGCGTTTTTCACCAGGTTCTAAATAATTTCTGCTAACAAAATCTCATATGTAATTTAGGCGAGAAGTGGCGCCTGATCTATCAGACTGGCCGAACATAAGATATTAATTTATGTTTCCTGGTTATCTTTATTTTACTTTATAATATAAACACAGTTTCTTGATTATTACGAGACTCAAAAGATACAGCTTCAAATCTGGAATATGGCGATCATGCTTCGCGGAAACATCCTGAACGAAAATACAATATGCAAATACAGGTTTTGATTCCCGGGGTAAATCACAAAACAGCGCCATGGAAGAATTTTGAAAAATCCAACTATCATGATTTTAGTACAATATCTAGAAAATTACATCTTAGGCTTAAATAAGCTTGAAACATGAGTGTAACACAGTTGAATTCTACGATTGAAAATTTGAGGGCCACGAAAATTTGGAGGAATTCCCGGACAAGTGTGATAAATGGATGGATGAATGAAGAAACAGCCTCATCTACATGCTGCTACAATTTCCACAAAAATAAATTGAATTGAATCGAAGTCCCGCGAAGTATGAAGTCTTTGAAGGCTACCTGTCGCGAAATCAGTGTGTTTGTCTCTCGAATGGTCCCGCGAAATCCCGTGAATTTGATCAAAATATGGCCTATTAGCGCGATCACACAAATACTTTAAATGTCCCGCGAAATCCCGCAACTTTAGGTTGGTGTCCCGCAAAATCCCACGACTTTTGGGCACTGGGTCTAAAGAATCTGTCCCGCGAGAAAATCTTTGGGGGTTGACAGTACTGAAAGATGTAGCAGTAGGAAACATTTGAGGATATAAAATATGGATATTTCGGGTTGTTAGTGAGAGGTGAATGTGCCAGATAAAAGGATGTAAGCCCAAAGGCATGTTGAATGAGACTGAGTGAGAGAGCATGTGTGTGTGTGTGAATTTATTTTGATCATCAAAGATCTACATCTAGTCAATAGTCTATAATAGAGGCCTACACTTACCCAAATTACACTCTAGACTTTCAAACAATCTCCGCTTTTTGGGTACAATCGACGTGTATACAGTGAGATATAAGTAAAATAGATACACTTTTGTAGAAAGGTTTCACATGCTTTGCATCAGGGTTTTCACTAAATTCAAATCGAGGCTTTTGGCGAAAGTAATCGAAATAAATATAAAATATTAATTTAACATAGTACTTGATCAATATATATTATTTTAAAGCAAAGAAATATTGTGAAATAAATTATGAAATATTTCTGTTCTAAAACTTTCAATATAAAGATAATATTTTCTGATAATTGACCCATTTGAAAGTTTGAATTTTATGGAAATCTCAATTACGCATGCGCATCAAGAGTTTTGTAACTTCCTGTATTTCTGCATGTGAGTAACTTTTCATCATTTTCGCTGCTTTACTGCGATATGATTCGATATCATATGTCGGTTTTTATTCCTTTTTGTCAATAAAACGTATGTTCAAATGATGGGTGATAATATTAATTGATTTCTTTTCGTCTGTTGTAGGTCATTGCTGTAAACTAGAAATTTCATAAGTTTCCAAAAAATTAAAAATGGCTCAGATATTCACAAGACTTGGTCAACTTGGAGTGGGACTTGCAGTCGTTGGTGGAGTTGTGCAATCAGCATTATACAATGGTATGTAGCTTATGTTAAATAGTATTTCACTGTCATTGTTTCATATCACATTTCAGTACGTCTTCTGTACGAGTGAATCTTTATCGTTGCATGACATGTAGAATACTTCTAGAAGCTTCAAACTGATTTTAATTCTGCAGGCCGTTATGTAAATCCAGTATGAATCTAATTGCAAAGATGTATTATTGGAAGACTGAAAATATAAATCCATATGACCTTGACATTGACATTCAGTTATAAAGACATTCTTCCCAATTTATATTCTTTGTGTATACAGTAAAACCTGTCTCCGAGAACACCTCTCTCTAGTGAACACCTATGTTTAGTGAACACCACCATCAAGAAACATTTTACATTGACTCATGTATAAAATCCCCCTCTGTAGTGAACACCTCCTACAGTGAACACTTTTTGTGTCTCAATAGATGTTCACTATATACAGGTTTTGTAAACATCAAATGGATATTTTATGTGTTATTGAAAATCCTATTTTGTTACAGTTGATGGTGGTCACAGAGCTGTAATATTTGACAGATTCCGAGGGGTTCAACAAAATGTAATTGGGGAAGGAACCCATTTTATGATCCCCTGGGTCCAGAGACCAATCATATTTGATATTCGGTCCAGACCAAGAAATGTTCCAGTCATCACAGGAAGCAAAGGTTCGTCAATGTCAGATAACAACAAGGAACAGATTTTGACTTCTATATCATATTTGGCGTTACCTTATTGAGTCCCACAAGTATCCTCATGTGCAAGTCTCGTTAGTTTGCTGCCGGAAGATTTCAAAAATGTTCTAAAATGTCTGTTGATTTGCGACATCCCTAAGGCTTTTTTTTATTCAAGTCTCCATTGTATGGATTTCTTTGCCGAATAAGGCATTTTTTCAAACATAATTTTTATTGCTTCTAAGATGTGGGCAAGCAACATAAAGGGGAATCCCTGTAGTCAGTCCTTCAGATGTATGGTTAAATTGAGTAATTTGCAGGTTGAAATAATTTAAATTACCTCTCTCTCTATGAAACTATTATATAATTCTTGCACTAAAAATTGTTATTTCAGATTTACAGAATGTGAACATTACATTGCGTATTTTGTTCAGGCCACTCCAGGACAATTTACCTAACATTTACACAAACCTTGGTGTCGATTATGATGAAAGAGTTCTCCCATCCATTACAAATGAAGTCTTAAAAGCTGTTGTAGTAAGTTATAATTTACCTTATATGTTCATTTACATTGTGAATTATGAGCAGTTTTGATGTTTCATTGACTCCCCCACTATGTGATCACTTCAAAAGTTCCCAAAATTAAAAAATAGCTGTGAAGCATACACGATGCTATACAATCAATTTTATTGATCAGAGGTAAGAACGTGTGTATGATTGATTTCTTTTTGGGTCTGAATTATCAGTCCACCTGCTTTGACTCATTGGCAGACCCAGTGTTACCACTATCACTCAGCCCCAGGTTTGATTCCTGGTTCAGACAAATTTTGTGCAGTATGTACTTCAACTCGACAATGGGAAGAACTGCTCTACCTTAGTGACTAATATGTCATGATATGACATCTAAAAGAGTCAATAAAAGATATATGTATAATTCTGGGTGTTTGAGTGGTCCAGAACTTGTATAAAAGTCTGTTGTATATACTTGTATGTCTTTGTATCGGTACACACTAAAGAACACATATCTCCTCTAAGGTGGGATTTCTGGCGCTGTCTTAGAGTATAAAATATGTAATAATATGGAAATGTACCGATGCGGTATTGCTCGCCAAAATATGGCAATAACCAAATTACAACTGAACATATAAATCATTTTATCATGGTACTGACTTCTCGTTTTTTAGGCACAGTTCGATGCTGGTGAGCTGATTACACAGAGAGAGGTTGTTTCACAGAGAGTCAGTGAAGACCTTTCAGAGCGTGCTGCTGCGTTTGGTCTCATACTTGATGACATATCTCTGGTAAGTCCACCAATAGGAGTTTCATGAGCAGCATGCAACAAGTTATTTTTTTCAGTGAGATCCTGTAATCATCACATTTCTCAACGATTATACCTGTGTTGGGTCTAATAATATGTTGATAATACATGTACATGTACTACTGTCAGACCCATTTTTCAACAGAGTGATTTTTTAGTTTTCACCAGGGGGCTGTTTAATGAGATCACGATACAAAAGATGCTATGGTACTGAGAATGGCTGTTAAAGTTGGGATTATTAATAACAACCAGATATCAATGCAATGTTTATTCATATAATGATTTCAACCATTGACTTCAAATATATTGAATGAGATTTTGAGTCTTAAAGTCACTGTCCATGTAAAAGTATCCAGGTCCTTAGCCTGACCAGAGATTCTTTCAAAATCATGCAGATTTTCACCATTCTGAGCACTTTTTAAGTGATTTTGGGCCATTGATGTCAAATGTGAACTCCATGGAATTTTTTGAAGAAAAGTGAACCCCCTTGGCAAGAGCTTGCTATGGGCCTGAGTATCTGAATATAGTATAGACCTATAATCTTTGTATATTGTATGTTCCTTTACATCTTTTTAGACACATTTGACATTTGGTAGAGAATTCACAGAGGCTGTAGAGTTGAAGCAGGTGGCACAGCAAGATGCTGAAAGGGCCAGATACACTGTAGAAAAGGTGGGTTTTCATTCCTAAAATATATATCCAACATAACACATAACACAAAAACGTTTAATTCTGCATTGCAAGCGCCTTTCTACTCAAAGAACACAACTTGAAGAATCCCTCGAACAGTTCAACATGTGGACCCCACTCAATGGACAAGAAAAAATTGAATCTTTAATTTTTCAAAATTCCCTTTCAGTTGGAAAGGATTCTGAATTAAAGGAAACGTTTGTTGAATTCGTTTCTAGTATTACTTAATTAATTTCTTCCTGATTTACTGTTGGCATTTAAGCTTACTGGCACTTACTCACTCGCCTTCTCTAATTTTTGTTTTATGTATAACTTGAAATGCTAGCCTATAATGCAAAATGCGCTAGGCAGTGACTACTATAACTACTGTATACTTTTGAATAATGCAGATGCGAGTAGGTAGTTACCAGTTTGACCACCAGGTGGCTCATTCGGGTCAGATAGCATGGCGGGTATAGGAAAAAGTTCCCTTTAATTTAAATTACATCTATTTTAGTGGTTCAATTTTCATATAACCCTTGTGAATCTAATAGTTATGCAAATTAAAATATGTCCAGTAAAAGAAAATGGTATTTGTCAAATACAAGAAAAGATATTTCACTTTTTGTGGTTTTGTAACATGGGGTCTATTGGGAATCAACCCGAACGAGAAGTCACATTTTCAAAGAAAATTAAATTTTCAAAGTTGATAAACAATTTTCGAAACCATATTTCTAGATGTACTTTTACTTGTAGAATTCAAATATGACATCACTTTGACTGAATTTTGAATATCTAATGACGTAAATCAAGATTATTTCTACTCGCATCTAGTCTATTGAATAAATATATAATGAAAAATAACAAATTTATGAATAATAGATGCTATGATATAAAGGGTGGTTCAAAAGTAACAGGACTGGTGCTGACATTTTGTTATATATTCACCAATTGTCTTCAAATACTAAAATAATGTACTTTCTAATATTGCAACTAAAACTGTTGAAGTTTCTTAAGATATTATGAAATGCAGGTAGAGTTATCCTGGTTACTCTAGTAATATGACATTACAATACCCGGGCAAAGTTTTTTCATATTCTTGTAACAGTGTTTCCTACATTGGTTTCATAGCTCAAAGCAAGTTTAGTATATACTGATTTTAGTTTCACCTTTCATCATAATGTAAGAAGCATCCCAGATAGATGCAACTTTTTTTGATTTTACATTATTTTTGAGTCATTCATTTTTATTTAAACTCAAAAAAGAACTATTTCTCCAGTACTTCATTAAGCTAAATAAATTTAGTAAATGTAAAATTATGATAAAACTGTGGAATTCTGTTGATATTGCATTCAGTTGAACTCAAGTCCACGTGAAAGTGAAAAGTGTCACTGTGTATGTATCCTCTTTAAAATTGTGATTGCAGGCTGAACAACAAAAACAAGCGGCTGTAACCACGGCAGAGGGAGACTCAAAAGCTGCATCACTATTGGCTGAAGCTTTCGCTAAAGCAGGAGAGGGTCTCGTTGAACTTAGGAAGATTGAAGCCGCTGAAGACATAGCTTATCAACTATCTCGTTCCCCTAATATAGTCTACCTACCACCTAATCAACAGACTCTGCTCGCATTGCCAAATTAATAACTCTGAAGAAAGTTTAGGAAATGTAGCTATCATAGATTGAAAGTGCTCTTGCATGGTTTTGTGGACTCTGGATGGAATTATATACATCTAACAAAAGAACGAGGACAGTATCCATAGTGTGATCAAATTAGTGATGAAAAATCAAGTAGTTTGAACTTTGTTGTTTCAATGTGTGAGTATTCGAGAATTTCCTGTACTCCGTACGAGACTTGTGTTCAAGCAATTTTGAAGTTTTTACGTTTAACTGCAATGTACGTTAAGTATTCTTTAAACATCATGATTAGACCCATTAAGTTTTTTAATGTAAATAAATATGCAGTGAAGTCATATTTCAATACTGTGTTATGTTTATGCTTTACAAAATTTTCACGGGATGTGGAATATGTAATACTAGTGTATTGATTCATCATAAAATAATATCAGATCACGGGTGACAATTTGCAAGCAACATTTACAATTGACTTACCAATCTATTTCTTATGATCCCAAATAAAAAATCTCCCTAAAGATCTGTGATATGTTTTAAGTTATTAAGGATTCCAAGTTCAAAAGGGGAAAGGTGTTCAAACCAAAAAGGCCTAGTTTATCTGTTTATGCAATTTTTTCACTTGTAACTAAAGTCCATTGATCTAATTTTAAAGAACTTTCAATTTAAGATCCACAGGGGATTGAATTTGACTTATCTACAGAATAATATTCGGAGATAATGATAATTTACAAGGAAAATTTGCTAGGGTTGTTTTGAAAGTAAACAGCACCTTGGAGAAATAGCTTTATTGGGAAAAATTGGAGTCTTAAAAATTGTATATTTAAAATGTGGAGCTTCAATCTCATATTTCGCTCATTTGAATGTATCTGGCAACTGTTAAATGCACCAATGATTTGTAAAGATTTAGTTTTGTCCTAGTTCGTCATTCTTGAGTCCGGAGATGAGATATCTAAGGATCATAAGCTGGAATGATTTAGTTTTTAGGCCTTATCCAAGGGGAAGTTAATTTGCAGTAATATATAATATACAAAACTATTTTTATACATAGTATTTTTTAATTTATTAGTTTCAAATCATAATTACATTATATAGTTTAAATGCATAGACAATTAGACATACAGTCATACTTCCATGATCATCTCTATTTCAATAGAAAATGAATATCATAAATCGACACATTTTCCAATCAAGTACTGATTTCCTTTTGAAGTTAACATACCTGATGAAGTTAACTTTCCAATCTATTGAACTTTCCAATTACTAATAGTACTATGATAAACTCATAGAAAATATTCTCAAAGGTATTTGGTAGATTCTAGTATTGCACTGTACTAGTACATATAGGTAACAGACCAATACTATTTAATACACTCTATACATATATACATGTCATATTTTCATTATCAGACAACATAACATATTTACAATACATACATTTGTATAAAGAATTGTAAAAATCCTCGGTGTCACACGTCCATTAGATTTTCTCAAGCATTGGACTCAAAGGTCTCTGATAAAAAAATTTTGAAAATGACAAATTACAATGAACACTCACAAAAATGTAAATTTTTTTTTACGTGTAACTTTTTAAAATGTTTCTCAATGATGCCAATGTAAATGTATAAAATATTTCCATTGGTTTAATTTGAAGAGATTAGTTTCATTTTAATTATGCTTCTTGTCTTAATGACAGGTTTCAAAATTAACATGTACAATTTCTAAGTGTATATATTACATAGCACCAATATTATAACATGACTACTTTGGGTTTACATAACTAACATTTTGACAACAACTGAGCATTGTTCTAACTTACTTCATATATAAAGAATTAATAACATTATTTTTCTCTTACTAAAATTGTGCAATTGAATTTAAGAAAAATCTTGTTATAAGAGCATGAATGTATCGTTCTTAATATGAGATTCTTGTAAAAATAAGATTGGCAATGGGGTCAATAATGATGATGTCAATGTATTGCATAATGAGCTTGAAAATGAGCTTTATAATATATTGCATGAGCTTGACAATGAGCTACATAATGAGCTTGACAATGAGCTACATAATGAACTTGACAATGAGCCTGATGTCTGATTGTGGGCCTACATGCATACCAAGAATGAAAATTGTTTCTCTACATATATAGAGTAGATTGAGTTCATTTTTTATTGCACAGTTGTAATGCTGATGTTCAACATCATCATTTGTTACTTATGCTGATGTTTGGACAATTGATAAACTCCAGCGTAGCTTTGCCCGTTCAATTACATCATTTTGGGGCTCATCACTTAACCAAATAAACAATGGGTCTGCAATAATTCCGTCATCTGCTACAGTTTTCTAAATTTCTAATCTCTAATTCTCACATTCCTGGCTGATAACTCACTACAATCGTATCAGAAATTCTATTTCCTATTACTTTCGTAATCGCTTCAATTACCTGTTGGTCGATTGTAAAATCCATTGAACATATTTCACAATCCGTTTTAATGTGTCATTCTGCCAGTATCATTCTTTGCTCATAATCCACAAATGATACCTTGCAGTAAACATCATGACTTGATTTTGGTTTAGAGCCAATTGCAGGTTGGCACTGGCAGTGAAGAATTTATGAATTTCAGATTTTTCCTAAATTCAGTCTAACAACATGAATGTGAATGTCATATCAGATGTATCGTCACAGATCTCCATGGTGATGAAGTTTTTACGGGCAGATTCATTTACAGATGCACACTTCCCCAAAGCAGGATTGTAAAGACGAGATTTTCTCTGGAATGAATTAAATATCACAATTAGCAGTGTTGATCTTAGGATTTTTTTCTCACTCAACAAGTGGTATTCGACTGTGTTTTCATACCCGCCAATGAAAAATTACACTTGCCACAGTGTTGCCACTGATGTTAAATTATGTGTATACTCACAGTTTTCTTGTGAATAAAAATCTTTAAAAAAAAGAAAGTAATATGTTTATGAAAGTACTCAAAATTGACTTTGTTCTATAATATTCAACACTGGCGAATTTCATATTTTTCATGTTAGACAATGTGGCGAGGCACTTCAATTAAAACTCGACTCTAAATATTTACAACTGCCTGGGGCTACTGTCGAGTGGATATGACCCACACTGAATTAGATGTAACAATATTCCAAGGCTCTTATGAATGAATGATCATTTGTTGTTAAAGGATCACTTGTGTTGTTATATTATGAATATTAAAGTATCAGAGAAAAAACGATGCTATTGGAGAATTTTTGCAATATATAAAAATGAAAATATAATTTTCGACCTGATATGAACCGCACAGCATAGTAATAATATCAAACACCCTACTCCCCTATTCATTATTGATCTACATAGTTACATTGTCAATTTATCATCCACTCCAATATTTTTTTCTGTAACAAAATCTGCTTTTCAACCACCATCCCCCTGATTTAATTTTGAAAAGAATGACACATTCATCCCCCTTATTGATTAGAAAGTATAAAGAAGTGAAGCTCTCTATTTCCACTTCCAGCACTGCACTGATAATGAGGTTAACCCAACAAAAAGTCACCACCTGGTTGCAATTACAAAGAAATGTAACAAATTGTTACGGACACTGACACTAGACACTGCCCACAAAAAATTGAAGTTAAACAAGCCCATAGCCAGCTTTTGACAACTTTGGCCAAAAATCACATGAAAAGTGCTCAGAATGGTGAAAAAACTGCATGATTTAGATGAATTTTTGGCCAGGGGGAGGTTCATTACAGAAATGTGTTTCTCCTTACATTTCCAGTCCATCTCCACTCCTGGGTGCCATGTGACCCATGACATTTCATGAGACGAGGGAACATCTCGTTGTCTTGATGATCATCAATATCTAGGCATAGTATGTCTGCTAGGACAAGCTCATGAGCATCTGATTCTGTCCAGACCTGTAAAACAATAAATCAGTTCACAGCTGTAGCAATACAATCATCAGTTCACAGCTGTCGCAATACAATCATCAGTTCACAGCTGTCGCAATATAATCATCAGTTCACAGCTGTAGCAACACAATCATCAGTTCACAGCTGTAGCAATGCAATAATCAGTTCACAGCTGTAGTAATGCAATAATCAGTTCACAGCTGTAGCAATACAATCATCAGTTCGCAGCTGTAGCAATACAATCATCAGTTCAAAGCTTTAGCAATGCAATAATCAGTTCACAGCTGTAGCAATACAATCATCAGTTCACAGCTTTAGCAATAAAATCATCAGTTCACAGCTTCAGCAATACAATCATCAGTTCACAGCTGTAGCAATACAATCATCAGTTCAAAGATGTAGCAATGCAATAATCAGTTCACAGCTGTAGCAATACAATCATCAGTTCAAAGATGTAGCAATGCAATCATCAGTTCAAAGATGTAGCAATGCAATCATCAGTTCAAAGATGTAGCAATGCAATCATCAGTTCAAAGATGTAGCAATGCAATCATCAGTTCAAAGATGTAGCAATGCAATCATCAGTTCAAAGATGTAGCAATGCAATCATCAGTTCAAAGATGTAGCAATGCAATCATCAGTTCAAAGATGTAGCAATGCAATCATCAGTTCAAAGATGTAGCAATGCAATCATCAGTTCAAAGATGTAGCAATGCAATCATCAGTTCAAAGATGTAGCAATGCAATCATCAGTTCAAAGATGTAGCAATGCAATCATCAGTTCACAGCTGTTCACAGCTGTCTACTACTAAAACATTAATTTACAGCTGTTACATAATGTAATAATTTCTTCATGCACTGTTTTAATAATTCAATCATTTCACAGCTGTAACACAATACAATTTTCAATTCACAGCTGCATTACAATGAAATCATCATAACTCAAGTCAACTATTACAAACCTGGTCTTTATTGTTGAGATCACACTTGTCCAGTTTGAGCAGAGATTTCTTGACATGTGGCCGTCCCTCCGCCACAACACACATGTCTGTCAGTGGATTCTTCATCTAAAAAAGATCAAGTGAGAAAATGGTCATGTTTTGAAATGAAAAACAGAATGGAAACATGTGGAATCAGCAAGAAATAAAGTAAACAGATATGTAGTATTAATACTCTAAATTGTATAAAATTGCCTGAAAATCATATCCATGTTTGAGATAAAAAAAAAGGAATGAACATTTCAGATAGTCTAAGAAAATATTTTGCAATAAGGTTTCCTGATCACTCTCTGATTGGTCAATGTCCTACACGTGACTAAAAATAACAAGCGATATTCAACGGAAGTCACATGACTTCCTGTGAATATCAAATGATATTGACCAGTAAGACTTATAGTCCAGTGTATTTTTTTAATTTTATAATACCGAGGAGTACATTTTTATGATTAATTAGACATCAATAGTTTGTTATTCTATTAATGTGAGTAAGGAATATAACAGTGAATAATAAAACAAATATTAATTCTGATTTTCAGTATAATATCCCATCTATACAACCAATAATGCTAAGCAGATGAAGATAATTGCAATACAACAAATTCACACTCACACGTCCACTTCTGACAGGCTGTGGCTTGTGGTGTTCTACAAAACCCCCCACAAATGGAGGGGCGTGTCCCTTCTCATCGGGAACCACTTGCTCTGGGTACACATTCTCTAGGTACCACTTGAAACTTTGGCACTTAAGGCGCTTCCGCAGCGCTTTTCTCTCGGATATATCTCCATAGTCTTTGACTCTAGCATCTGGACGACTAGAAAAATAGTATTTCTGGAAGTACATGTTTTAGTTTAAAGGATGAGTTTATCAAATATTTAATATTCAATATACATGACATGTAATAACTAAACGATTTGAAAAATATTGATGTTGTAGACTCATAAATGCTATTTCAAGTATAAATGCCAGCAACTTCTGTTTCATTTTAACATTGCCTCCAAACATATCAACTCCTACCACTACAGGGTGTCCGGAAAGTAAAGATACAAATACTCTAATTTTAAGAGATTTAGTTTTTTGGTAATGAAAATGCTACAGATTGTAGAGGAACTACATTACAATACATCTACCAACTTTTATAAGATATAGTCTAAATCTGTTAAATTGACGGTTGTCATGGTTACGGTGGTGAGGGGTATGCGGAGCAGTTCCAGGATATCGCTGAATTGTGATAAATTGCTCAAATATAACCATTTGAAAGAGTGTTTATTATTGTATTTCTTATCAGTTTTTTGTTTTGTTCAATACTGTGTTCTTGCTGCCATAGTATTCTCTTTAGTATAACGATATCATTGATACATATCAGAACTATGTAATGTCACAAGTATAATCAAAGAAAAAGAGCTTATAAGTGCTTAGAAAAAGGGTCCCTGGATTAATAGGAAAGTCAAAAGTGCATCTCCACAGCAATGCTCCAATGCACAAAGCAAATCTTACAATTGAATGTCTCGACATTTACCTTTTTTGTACAATGGCCCATATTTCCCTGATAATGTCCCGTTGGACTTATACATTAATGAATATGTTAAAGCAATATTTGTGAGAAGTTCAACATAAAAATGAAACTCGGCTTGAAGCCAATGTTATCAGCAATCTTAGAGACTGACAGCAAAGGTTTTGTAAGGTCTTTGAATCTCCTGTCAAAATACACCAAGAATGTTCAGATAAAGGTGGAAAATACATAATACTGGATAACAGTAGTAATGTCAAATGATTAAATAATGTTACAGTACTAATCCTTTTGCTGTTGTGGTACATAATTTGATGCATAATAGCAACAGACGACAGAGTGTCATGGTGATATGAACAGGAGAAAAGAATTAAAAAACATAATTGTGACGCTGCTCCACATACCCGCGACTCCTGTTACCATAACAACCATAACTTTTTTATTTTGAAATAATTTGTCATGACAGTTGCAGGATAAATTGTTACAATGTCATTCTACAATCTGTAGCAATTTTATCTCACAACATGTAAACCTAATGAAATTAGAGCATTTGTATCTTTATTTTCCGGACACCCTGTATCTAGGGCCCTATGCCCTTCCCATCATAATGTAATTGATTGAGAAGATGATGAATAATAGCCTGCATATACATATACCTTATAACCATCAAGCCAGACATGTATGACACGCAATGAGTTTCTGGTCATTGTGTCGAAGCCTGTAGGGTTGCCATAGGGACGCCTCTTTCTGAAGATATGACCTACACGTGAGCATGGAATGATTTCTAGCTGACCACCACACATCCAGATCTGAAAGTAAAATGTATGGCTCATTGATTGGACAAAATACACCTGAGGAAAAAGCTAGGAGAGTGAATTTAGCAGGCCCGTTAGCAGGGGGGGGGGGGGCAGACCAAAAATCCTTTCAAAATCATGCAGTTTTTCGCCATTTTGAGCACTTCTCAAGTGATTTTAGCCATATTTGGCTAATATATGTTATAATTTAACTGAAATGCCTACCATTAATAAAGGTTACCATGGTTACCTTATATCTGAATTAATTTAAGATATAACTATGATTATTAACATTGAATGGAATATATGGATCACCCCTTGTATGATCAATGAACAAGTCAACATAGGGCTAGAAAAGGTATTTGCCTATATACCTACCCTGAATGATATTTCGAGATTCTCCCCTCCCCAGACATCCATACCAGGATCATACTTCCCTAGTGTGTTAAAATATTCCCTATCCATTGCGAATAAACCTCCAGCCATTGTAGGGGACCTGGAATTCAATTTCAACACATTTCATTTACTTTTAAAATTCAAAAATACATATGATGATTTCATACATTTGATTCAAATAAATGTACAAAAAGTACAATGTACAAAAGTACAATATACAATGCAACATAATCAATGTCATTTAATGTGATCATTCCCAATTTAAGCAAATGTTTTTCCAAACAGATTTAAAGGGATATTCCTTGCCAGACCATCTCATTTCTGATATGGTAGAAATAAGCCTATAACCATATTACATATACTTTTTTCAGCAAAACATGGAACAATATTCTGATATGATCAATATTGATCATTTACCACGGTAGTGCTCATTTCCAGTAGGGTGCTTTCCAATAAGTGATGTCATTGACTAATTTGCATAAGTGCATACCAGTAAAGAAAAACAAACCCCATATAGCCCAAAACCATGATCTAACGTGAAAAGAAACAATGTCTAATACCCCCTTTCTCCCCACCATTCAAGAACCAATATCACAATCCAAGACCAGAAGACCAAGGGACATTTCATTCATACTAAAGTCATTACAATACATGTTGAAGAAAAAATTAGAAATTGATAGCCAATTGATAGCCAATAACAAGGCAGAGAGGAATTAAGAATGACAAAATACATTACATCTGGCGACATCTATCAATATATCAACGCATGAACTTTACTCAAAAATCAAAAATTACTAACTTGATTGGTTTGACCATATCTGCTTTAGTTTTGAGTTGATCCATAGGTATATTGTCCCATCTGTAATGCATACCCCAATTGAAGCCTCCCTTTACGAGAGGTGATGGTTCATATTCAAATGTGTCGGGGTCAACAATGTCTATAATTGGCACAGTAACTATACGTTTATCTTGGTGTATTCTATGTAGCATTGGCTCCAACCAATGAGTATTCACTTCACAGTGACTATCTAAGAAAATGAGTACCTAAAAATGAAGATTTATAATGACATTTAACTTACTATCTAAACCCTTCCTTTTATACTAGAATCATCATTAACATTTTGGTATTCCACCTAGTTTCAAATTGATTCTAATGACATAGTTTAAAGGGAGTACATTTTCCATATACAATGGCTTATTCTAACCTACAATGATCATTTTGACTTAAAACAGCTGCTTCAATATCTCACTTAAGTACATATGGGACAAATCGTGAGTTATCAATCTTGGAACAATCAGACTATATGTATGTGTTGTAGCTGCTGTTAGGTGTAACTTTGACAGACAGAGGGGAGATTTTACCTGCCCAGTGGCATGGTCGGCTCCATTAATCCTAGCTCTGATTAAACCTTCACGTTTTTTGTTGCGTATTATCTTCACAAGTGGTAGATTTTCATCCACATATTCCTGAAGTTTTTCTTTCAGGTGATCTGTAATTACACAAGTAGTCTTATATTTTAAAGAGAAATACAATTCTGATATCTCTTAGCCTTAGTTTTGCTTCAAGACCCTGGACCCCCCCCCCTACCTACTTCAACAGCTGTTGTCGAAGTAGGGGGGGGGGGGTGAAGCAAGCCTAGATATACTTATAATGAGGCCTGGAATATCACATACTAGAAGGATCTTCCAGTACATGTATATTGAATCAAAATTATAAACTTTTTATCGACCATTCATGTAATTAACATTATAATTTTTTAGATCGATGTTCAAATATGCCTTTCATTTAACTTTTTAACACTGTGGCACATATCTTTCCATATTTTGTATTCCTCCAACCTGTTTGTCTAAGAAACAGAAAAGAAGGGTTAACATAAACTTCACATGTACTTAAATGTAAAAAAAAGCGTACCTAGTTCACTGAAGTCATCTACCAGGATAATCTCATGTATAAGATAAAGTGGCGTCCTGTCTAATATGCTATGTACGGTTCGCATCAGTGCAGACCATGCTTCATTGTAGAAGCATATTACAATACTGGCCTTGGGTAGTATAGTGTTAGATTGGTACATTTGTCGCTTACATCTGAAATAACATTTTTAAGTAGGGCAGTCAAAACATTGGTTTCCCAGTTTTTGATGCTGAGTTCACTCTAGGAAAAAAATAGAGGGGATATTGATTTCAAGTTTCTCATACCTCATATATTTCTCAAAATGTGCTCAACATGCCTCATATATTCCTCAAAATGTGCTCAACATGCCTCATATATTTCTCAAAATGTGCTCAACATGCCTCATACATTTCTCAAAATGTGCTTAACATGTCTCATACATTTCTCAAAATGTGCTTAACATGTCTCATATATTCCTCAAAATGTGCTCAACATGCCTCATATATTTCTCAAAATGTGCTCAACATGCCTCATATATTTCTCAAAATGTGCTCAACATACCTCATATATTTCTCAAAATGTGCACAACATGCCTCATATATTTCTCAAAATGTACTCAACATGCCTCATATATTTCTCAAAATCTGCTCAAAATGCCTCATATATTTCTCAAGATGTGCTCAACATGCCTCATATATTTCTCATATGTGCTCAACATACCTCTTATATTTCTCAAAATGTGCTCAACATGCCTCATATATATCTCAAAATGTGCTCAACATGCCTCATATATTTCTCAAAATGTGCTCAACATGCCTCATTTATTTCTAAAAATGTGCTCAACATGTCTCATATATTTCTCAAAATGTGCTCAACATGCCTCATATATTTCTCAAAACGTGCTCAACATGCCTCATACATTTCTCAAAATGTGCTCAACATGAATCATATATTTCTCAAAATGTGCTCAACATGTCTCATATATTCCTCAAAATGTGCTCAACATGCCTCATATATTTCTCAAAATGTGCTCAACATGCCTCATACATTTCTCAAAATGTGCTCAACATGCCTCATATATTTCTCAAAATGTGCTCAACATGCCTCATATATTTCTCAAAATGTGCTCAACATGCCTCATACATTTCTCAAAATGTGCTCAACATGTCTCATATATTCCTCAAAATGTGCTCAACATGCCTCATATATTTCTCAAAATGTGCTCAACATGCCTCATTTATTTCTAAAAATGTGCTCAACATGTCTCATATATTCCTCAAAATGTGCTCAACATGCCTCATATATTTCTCAAAATGTGCTCAACATGCCTCATACATTTCTCAAAATGTGCTCAACATGTCTCATATATTCCTCAAAATGTGCTCAACATGTCTCATATATTCCTCAAAATATGCTCAACATGCCTCATTTATTTCTAAAAATGTGCTCAACATGTCTCATATATTTCTCAAAATGTGCTCAACATGCCTCATATATTTCTCAAAATGTGCTCAACATGCCTCATATATTTCTCAAAATGTGCTCAACCTTTCCCCAAAAAAGCATTTTCAAAAGTATGCTTAATTAACAAGGCCAACAACAAGCAGTTACTGAAATTCATTATCAGTAGAATTTAGTGCAAAACTTAAGACGACCCAGTGTTCTCACAAGGCCTTTTTCTTAACAAGGTGCCATGCCAATCGTTAATTAGGTCAAAATATGTCAATAATTCACCTTTTTGACAGGGTGTAAACAATTTTTTACAAGTTGGCATGTAATTTTTAGATTTTAACAGGAAGCAGAGCCCAGTTGCTACAATGAAGGTGAGGGCATTATAACCTCTTATATTCATTTTAAACCAACCATGGCAGAAATCTCATGGCATGGTACCTCTTAAACAGCAGGGTTAAATTGCTTAGTTCTGAAACATATTAACAAACGATGGATTTTGTATCTGTGTAACACCTAAAGTCCTTTGTTGCGAGGTTTTTTGTAAAAATGCTTTGTTACAAAACAATTAAACATGCTGTGTAACTCCAACCAATATCAGCAAAGATTTAGAAAGATCAAGTTCAATTACTGCAAAAGCTTCCATAGAGGGTAATAAATAATCCAAGGTTATCTCTTGATTCCTTTCTCAAAGCCAGGAGAGACTTAATTGAAGACTTGACTTGGATTACTAGTTTGTTTTTCTTGATTAATTTCTGCATTTTTCTACAGATGTATGAACAGTGTTAGTTTTATCTCAAGTGATGAGCAACATTGGCCTTGACACATTGACACAGTAATTTCATACTTCACCAAAGGGCTTCACTGGAAAATGAAATATCCTTCGATTAAGGATGCAAGGCTATGCAGCCAAGGCATTACCATGCAAAATGTCACCACCCGCCATTTGTTACAGGCACTGATTGCCGAACACCAAATACCAGACACCGACTGTGGAAAAAAGTTAGAGTCAACAATATGTTACCACTTGTGGTGCATGGTGACATAATAACCATGAAAGCAAGACTTGCTAAACCTATTTCTGTCTTGATCTAAATTTTAGGGATAGAAGGGGGGGGATGAGAAATAGAGGATACAAGTAACCTATATTTATTCTTCCATTTTACAACTTGTATGGGTCGGATTTTTTTAAATCAAAAATGGCCACGCCAACTTTTCTAATGGTGCTCTAATCTCTTTTCTAATTTCTTGTACTTACATTGGATTCCTGGTGTCTGGAACATCTCTATGGAAACCAATACGATCACTTATCAGCTGATTAAACGCATACTGATGGTAACCTATAAAACACATAATACACCTCATTTATCATTGCATGTGCATTGGCCATAAGGCTATGTATTAAACTGAAAAACAAGTATTATACTAGCATGTTCCATGTTAGGTGTAATAAAAGCACCAGCTCAAATCGTTGGTGATATCCTGATGGCTCATTCTGTCACCGGAATTTTTTACTTCATTTTCGCACTCACCTTCACTTCTTATCCTCTGGTCTTTGGGGTCACGTATAATACCAATCTCGGCTTTTTTATCTTCTTCGGTCTTTGGCGCATCTTCATCTATATCATAATGGATGATCTCCCGATTACGAGGCTGAAATTTTGGATGGCCCCCTCTTCTGGAGAATCCTTCATCTGGGATATATTTTGACGGTGACCAATCGTGAAAATCGTAATGAAAGTAGGCCATGATCATGATTAGCCATGAAATTGAGGCAAACATGGAACCGTAGCAAAAATATCTGTATGTTAGCCTCATGTTGATTGTTCAAATTTCACTGTAGATTTATTTTCAGAGCTTTCATTCCATCTGCTCAGCTCACTTCAGTCATTCATGGTATCGACAAATGTCACAAACATGGCCTCATTGTGGTATGAGAGGATTTCATACTGAAAGAAGATTCAAAAATATAGATTCAGCTTAAATGAGGAACCGGAGATCAAAATAATTTGATGGTGGCTCAGACATTGGCTGATCCTATAGCTTATGAAGTAGTGGGCCAAAAATATCATCTTCCCACGTGTGAAATCTCCCCCTCCCCTCCTAGCCCCTACTCAGAGCAGTGCAAGCTCCTTTCTATGTTTATTTCACTCAACAAGTGTCCAATATATTTTCCATAAGCAACATGCCTTTCTTTTTTCCTCCTCCTAATTAGTCTAAATGTAACAACAAGGCATTAACATGCGAAATGTCACAACATACCATTTGTTACAGATGCTGACTGCTGAACTCCAACCACTGAACACCAACCACTGAACCCCATCCACAAAAAGTTAGAGACTAACAATATGTCACCAATTTAACTCACCAAGCAAAGCTGTAAAAATAAGGATTGCACTGCCAACCATCTTGATCCATCACAAATTTTTTGGAACAATATGACTGAAAGGTTAAACTAGAAGAACAGTTGAACTTTCAAGTGCATAGCATATACTGTACAACATGCAGTGTAGGTTTTATTCATGAGTAGGAAGAGATCGTTGCAGGCATAAAATTAACATGACCCAGGAATTAATTATGTAGATAAGATCATGATACCTAAAACAGGAGGTGAATTTGCTAGCGGGAGGGTAGGCCTGTGGCAAACAGGGTTGGGGGGACTTCCCCCTTGGCCAAAAATTCTTTCAAAATCAAGCAGTTTTTCACCATTCTGAGCACTTTTCATTCAATTTTGGGCCAAATTTGAGCCAAGTTTTGTTAATAAATAATATAAATTAATAAATTCTGATAAGTGAACCCTTTTGGCAAGGACTGGCTATAGGCCTGGAGGTGTACCTTCATTAAACCTCAAAATCTCAATACATATGTTGGGGGGGGGGGTCCTTCATCCATATACACTAAAGTCCCTAAAAAGACTCTGTCTTCACTTGCTTGCCCGTAGCCAGCTTTTACCAGGGGGGGGGAGCTTTTTTCCAGGGGGGGGGGAAACTTTTTCACAATTTTGGCTAAAAATCATGCGAAAAATTCTCAGAATGGTGAAAAACTGCATGATTTTGAAAGAATTTCTGGCCAGGGGGGGGAGCTTCCGCTCCCCCAGCTCCCCCTCTGGCTACGGGCCTGACTTGTGAAGTCTAAACTCTCATATGCTTCTGGTCATTTTACCTTATGTTCTACTTATACTTTATTTTGATAGTAAGCTCCTCTGCTACAGTCACTCTAACCTTGACATAACAGGTGCAGTGAGTACTGGAACATTATGAAACCTACTGTAATATTACGAAAATGTTGATTTGCCTTTCACTTGAACTAACGTCTTTTCCTTCTGAAATTCATTTTGCTCTTGTTTAATTGTGGACATTTAGAAACAATTCCCTAGATCTATATGCTCTTTAATATTTAAGGAATAAATAATGATAGGCCATTCAATATGGTGAAATTCAGCACGAGTTGGACAGAATGTTGTACAAAGCACGAACCGAAGGTGAGTGCATTTGTACTAACATTCTGTCCAACGAATTTGCTGAATTTGCTGAATTTCACCATATTGAATGGCCTATCATTATTTATTCCGATTCAAACATAAAAATTAGTAAAAGCCGTGTCTGTGGAGCGGGCATGAAGGAAGAATACGCATGCTGTCAAGATTCTGAAGTCGGCCGGAAAAATTTTAGAATTTGTTTGGGCTGTTCTATTTTACTCCCCGTTTTTGATTTTATACGGTGTATAACTTGAAGTCAGCCATAGTTAAATAGTTACAGTAGTTACGGAGGGAGTAGAAAAGAACAGCTATCCCCGGACAGAGCCCCAGATGTGCAGCTGAGATGTGACGTCACTCAAAACAATGCAAATTGCAGATTGAATAGAGCATGGTCATGCATCTATGGAGAATTAGAGAACGTTCTATATTGGCTATGCTGCATTCTGATTGGTTGAGAAATTCGAATAGAGCACGGTCATGTTTGAATTAAACATACATGTATCCATATAATATAAGTTTTGTAAGTTTTAAGTCTTGCATCGAGACTGTGTACCCCCTTGTGTACTTCACCTTCCTTGTTGTTAATTTGATTAAATGTTAAAATGCATTATTTCCTGGTAAGCTGAGTTTTGAAGCACATGAACACAGTCATGTGAAATTCGATACTTGGTTTGTAAGGTGATTCTTTGATAATTTGGTCTCCATATTAGAGCATTAACAACATGTCTTACTGTATTATTAAACTTATACAGCGGAGACTCATTCATGCCTAAAATTCATCCTGAAATAGCCAAATTAATACCCTGCATACAGAGTCTAGTTATAAACTTACCCCCCTATCACACCAAACTAGTTCTTACCCGTTCTTGCCAGTCCTACGAAAACGTCGTAAAACGGGCTCAATCTGGCTGTGGTCGGGAAATATGTCTAAATTAATTAGCTACTTCGTTCACGAACAGTTTCCAATACGTCCATCTCATTCACAGTTCGTTCAGGTCGCACCACGTCGGTGTGCAACGTCGTTTAACGCGTCCCTTAGTCTAGAAAGTCATCATGACTGATTACAGAACGGTATGGTCGCCATCGAATTTTGAATCTATTCAAAATTCTAAATCACATTCCCCGTCCGGGAAAGTCCATGAAGTTCGTAAACAGACCGCGCACAGTTTAAAACCAGTTTTGAAGAATGCAGTTACCACGAGAACATTTTGATCATGTTCTAAGCTCTAGCAGACCTACCCGTTCGAGGACGTTCGATGAAGTTTGTAAATAGACCCCAAACGGTTCTAAGTACGTCCAGTCCGTTCGTACACAGTTGAAGCCCGTTTTCGAGAACGTAGTGAGAACTAGTTTGGTGTGATAGTAGGGTAACCGAGTAAAGACGGAGCTCTCTTTTAAGAAGTGAAGTCAAACGAATACAAAGCAGGGGCAGATCTGGGGACCAATAAGTGGGGGCCCAAATTTTTCTTCAAGGCCTAAAAAGGCCTACTAATGACCGAAAAGGCCCACTCTATCATCTTTATTTTGTCATCATGAAGCAGAATCTATTAGAAATAAATTTCAATCGTTTTTCAATTTTCCATTTTTCGAGTAGGCCCTCCGCAAGATTAGTTTTTCTGGTTTGGTTTTTTGCACATATGTAAATAAAAAAGTCTTCATTCAAAGATCGCACAGCGAGTAATTGGCTAGAGACTCGACTAAATGGAGAGTATTACAGTATTCGTATTCCAAATGATTTTTCTGACTAGTACTTTGATTGTGAAAATATGCTCACTGGTTGACGCAACAAGCAGTTTATGTGCTGTTAGGTTGAATGTTTTACTAACTTCAGGAAGGTAATTGACTGTCTCATTCTTTAGCTAATAGTCTTATTTTTCACAATCAAAGTAGGGGAATTGATCCCAATTATTGCACCACATCCTTTAAACGGGTGTTGCCGACACAAGTTAACATTTCCGATCTTAATGATTCATTCATATATTTACAAATATCTCTTCGAGTCCTACTTTTTGTCAAATTTTATAGAGTAAACACCAAAAACTGTAATTCCAAGAGCTTTGAAATCTTCAGAGGACATAAGTTGCATATAAAGCAACTACTACAAGTTATTTGAAAGTTCTACTTCAACAAAGTGTCTAGTATTTACAGAAAATTTGACTTTTTGACATCAAAATCAGCAATTTCTCGAAAACCGGGCAAACTTGGGAAATGGCGATGATAGGTCAAATAGGCATTATGGATATGCATAAAATGAATGTCGATATGACTCAATCCGAATAGCAGTTTTAATTTGTGCGGCCAATGTTGATGTCCGGATGGACCAATGGACGGACAGACCAACGAAGGGACCGACCAACGGTCGCCTGGTCGATCCCATAGGCTCAAAATTTTTTTTACCACTATTGTCACGGATGTGAATATGCAAAAAATGAAATTCATCTGACAAAATTTCACACCTTCTAAATAAAGACATAAAAGTAATTGAATAATGTATATTTTGTATGTATTTTTCACTAGAACTGATAAAAAAATATTATAACAAATGGATGTATCCATTTAAACAAGGAAATATACAAATTTTAGAAGAAAAGTTCATCTTTTATGTCATACCCTCAAAGTAAGTTGAAATTATCATATTAGAAATCGGCAGTAGTAGTTTTCCTGAGTACCCGAGCGATGAAAGGACCATTAGTCAGAAAAATTATTTAGAACACTGTAATTTCTCTAAAGTGTCAATGTTCTTAATCTTTGACACTTTCCGCGATTGGGAAAAATGAATTCCTGCGTAAAATTATGCATCTACTGTACCTTCCGACTTTTGATTAGTAACATGACAAATTTTCAATCGAGTCAAAATCAGTCAGTCAAAAAACAGTCAAAAGCAGTCAGTCAAATTGAAGAAGTCATCAGATAGTAACAGTCTAATTTATCAGTTTATATACATAATTGAAACACAGAATTCTAGTCCACAATGGCAGACTCAAAAAGTCCTACCAGGACATCTAAGAGGGACATTGATTGTGTCGACTATGTACAACTTCACTCGATAGGGCCAGTACCATCTAAACTTAAAACAGAGGTTTCAGAAGGAAGTATTGAACAATTACAAAACTCTGATCAAAACCTGTGTTGATGATGTCAACGAAGTTCCAATTTCTAAGCCTAACTTCAACAGCGATATCAATAGTTCGTCATCAGTTGATTCATCAGATGACGATAAAGCAATTGAATTAGAACTGATCAAATTACGCAAAGTGGAGAAAAACACTGTAATTTTATGTATAGAATATAAGAGGGAGGGGATGACCATGGGATGACTTACTCCCCATCCCTGGCTCCCCATGCGGAAACATGAGAGATGCATTGCAAATATATAGCAGTTACTAGAGGTGTCACGGATACCCGATTTTGTTCCGTTCTGCGGAATAAGGCTCTCTGATCGGAACATGGAACACTTATTTACATTTCGGTTCGGTTCCGGAACAGGAAAATCATACCTTTAAGCAGCTTTTAGCCCTCAAATCGCCACAAAATGGCATTTTTCTTTGCAATGAAAGAAGTCAATTTTTTCACTCCTTCTCATTGAAGAGTTTTCAAGAGACCCAGATGGACCTAGTCGATCAACTTATTTTATATGTACTATATATACCTAGGGTTTATCTTTCTCGAGTAGTATGATCTGCGACTTTGCACTGAATATGTCGGCGGCTAAACTCAAAATGTTAAATGAGCTGAAACCCGAAAAACAATGTATTGAAGACGCTTTGAAGGGCGGGAATGTTGGAAAATATAGCAGTAATCCCGTGTTCGGGGGTTTAGCGGGACCAGAGTGCCTTCAAAGATGTGAGGTCCTAATAACAGATGCTCAAGGTGATTTGATCGTTAATTTTGGTTTTTCTTCCCAGTTCAAACGGAAGATCTAGGACACGTAGGCCTAGATCTAATTTTTTATTTCCTGTAAAAGCTATATTTCCAATCATTGTTCATCGACTCGCAAAATTTAGTAGTTTGTTGCAAATGACTGGATCTTGGCCTACAATAAATGGGGCAAGTTAGGGTATAATACACACAGTCACTTTGTTCCAGAATCGTTCCGAAACTGTTCCGTTCCGAAGCCAAATGTTCCGAACCAAACCATTCCGAACCGTTCCGAATTTTTTTTGTTCCGTGACAACTCTAGCAGTTACAGATACAAACTCGGGCAGTAAGTATGTGTACACTAAGGATTAGATCATCCTTCTTTTCATGTTTTATGTTTTCAATTTTATGTTTTGACAACTTCAGCAAGAAAGAAAGTTGAATTGATGATGCAGAAGTATCATAATAGCAGATGAAAAACAACACAGACATATTACATGCATTCGGTAAGTACGTGATTTTACCATAACTCATTATATGTGCGGATATATCCACGAATACATAAAGAAAAGTGACAAATAATTATTTTCACCTGTTTATGGAAGCAGACATCTTGGATTGTCTCAATTTTTTGAGGGAGGTACACTTTGTCTCCGCATAATTTAAACGAATAATAAAGGCACAAAGCTACTCTGTTTTTTTTAAATATATCAAGTAAATGGTAAATGAAATTATAATGTATAATCATTTTGTCTTATTTATTCTAGAGGAAGATTTTAAAATTATTGTAGATAGTCAGCACCCCTTAAATTTGAACTGGCCCACGTAAACAAGTAGGTCAGACTCCTTCTATTCTGTATATTCGTAACAAAATATAACTTCTTTATCTCACCTCTTGTCTCATGATCATATCAGGTAGATGGAGGGACAATTCAATAATTTAACAGACAGTGTTCTATTAAACGAACGTATCAAATTCAAATCGAATAAATTATAACATTAGCTCTACTTTATTTTTGTTGAGCCTCTTAGGGGTCTATAAAAGTTGAAGGATCGTGCAAGAATTGGAGTAAACTTTTGTCAAGAAAAACCTCGAAGTTTTGACTTACTTTTGTAAGTATTCTACCTATGTGATACAAATGTCAAAAATATATATCCCACTTTATATTCTGGCATAAATTTATAACTTTCCCATTTTTCGTATTGTTATTATTCTCGATTCAATCTTCAGGTTTGCAACGTGTGTCAGTTCAACAAATAACCACAAGTGGCAAACAGCCAGCACAAAATCAAGTGAATTTGGATACTGATGTAAAGTATACATCTCGTGGATAACATTCAGTTTGGATTTTAAAATGACAGACCCAACTATGCTGAAAGTGCTTGATGAACAAGTGGAGGGGGTAAGTCATTTTTTGTACCAGTGAATCTGAGTGACAAGTCATTGTGAGTTGCACTATTTTCATCAAATTTGTAAACAATGTAGCCAATTTTCACAAGAGTTGGATAACATCAAAAGAAATTTATGAGGTGATGTCCAGGGACCATGTTTCAAAACAAACAAGTATTGGAATGGTGTTGGAGGTTCTTTTATGTCACCAGTGGTGACATATTGTTATCGCTATATCCAACTTTTTGTGGACTTTGTTTGGTGTTAAGCACCCAAGGCATCTGTAACAGATGGCTCTCAGTAAACATCATTCAAATGCCAATGGCAGGTAGTGACATTTTGATGGTTTATGCCTTGTAAGACATTTGTACATGCTTTTTCGTATTTTTGTGCAGTAATTGAAATGTTGAATGAAATAAATCATAAATACTCTGTCTCGGGATCAGTGCTAGGTGCACAAATTCAAATCCAATTAGAAAGAACGAGTTCCTGAAGGAGATTTTTCTGTTACGTTGAAATGTATGTACAGTATAGTACAGATTATATGGGAGATGTTTTTCTACTGTATAAGACCATTGAAAGTTAATAATAGGTTTAACGTCCTGTTGAAATCCACGAATTGTAGAAGGGAGGTGATGTTAAACATTTATTGAACTTTGAATGGCCTAAATGCACGAGTGGGCGATTTGAATTATGATTTTACGAATGTCAGTGTAACTTTGAAACGTGTGCAAAGATGATTTTTTCTTATCAGCATCCATCAAATAGAAAACATATATACAGAGATCACGATAGTTGAAAAAACTTGTTAGCCATTGTGGCTAAATCTTCCAAAAATTTTTTAGCCAACCAAAATATGAATTAGCCATTTTGAAAAACCGTAAAAAAAGGAATTCGCAATAGAGGTGTCATGGTCCAAGAAAATTTCGGTACGGTACGGAACGGTACAAATGGTCTCGACACGTTACTTTCGGGACAGGACGGGACAGAACATTAAAAAAAATGATGCAATGTCTGATGATGACAGTTTCACTTTCAGTTTCACTTTTCAAAATCATATTCAGAAATAAAAAAATCGGAGGTGTTCCTCGCTATTTATGCACATTTTTATGTATTTTAGGGAAGGAATCTATGTATCGATATTAACCCTTTCTGTCCCATGTCCCGAACCGAAGCATCTGGACCGAAATTCGGTCCAATATCGAAGAGTTGTTTCACCATCTACATTGCAATCAAATTAAGAGGATTAGGAAATACTATTTAAATTGTTGAGCTCACGTGGGTGTTTATTATCTTTATTTATTGTTGTTATTGTAATATTAAAATGAATGATGGATAATGTTAATGTTTAGAGTTTTATGTTTATATTGAACATTCATAGTTACTCTGACCTGGGAGTCTGTTCAAGATTTTATTGCTGCTGAGGCAAGGTTACTGGCATTTTATGGAATTTAACATATTATTGTGAAATTGGTATTTTTATGTTGAAACAATCAGGCTTGCAGTACCGTATGTGCATACAAAAAAACTGTAATGGCTGCATCTTTGTGTTGAATTAAATTAACGTTAGATTAAAATGTTCAGTTTCAAAAACCTTAATTGTTTTTTTTTATTTTTACCTCACAGTCTGGCAAGCAGTCTAGTTTTGCCATCAATCCCTTGTACTTGTATACTCTTCCCCTTTCCCCTTATGAGCATACATCCCTTACATTTTTGAATATGGAAATAGATGATGGGGAGGGGGGGGGGCAGAGGCTTCCTGACTTATTACTGTCATGTACAGTATTTGTTTTCATCTAATAATAGTTAATATTGTTTTTACTCATCTTTATGAATTAAATCAATACACATCATATTAAATAGCTATTTAGGATTAATCTTTTGGAAATATAATTACATTCAATTCAACAAAACTGTTTTAAGCAAAAATTTATTGATGTTACTAAATCATATGAATGATTTGATACTGGTGTATGGTATTTGAAAGAACAAATTTTTTGTTGACTTTATTTTTTATCTGAAAGTATGTCGATTTTATATTGAAGGTCAATGTTCTGTGTTTGAAAGAATGTGTTTTTTCAGTTGAAAAGATAATTTTATTTTTGATCAAAAGGCAAGAATTGCCGAAAGCCTCTTTTGTACTCTTTTGTAACAAATGATGTTCGATGTTACCATTTTAGCAAAATTCTAGGCTGAAAGTAGCAGGTTTGTTTTGCCTTTTATTAGATTGTCTAGAAGGAAGACTTTAATCTCTCTCAAAATTCTGTGGGAGAGGGGGGGGGGTCACGGGGTGGGGGTGTTCAGTAGGCATGAATGAACCCTCCACCTGGCCAACAATTCTTGAAAAAGTGAACCCCCTTCCCCTTGACAAAAGCTGTCTCCAGGCCTGGGTAAGTCTTACAGCAAGCCCCTGTATTCAGCTCCAATCCTCTCTCTGTCATATGGCGGAAACACTCAGTCAGTAGTATGTTGAGTGAGAGGCTAACCTGGTAGCTAGTATATATGCAAGAGTGAGTAATTGAAGTTATAGGGTCAATGTGTACAGATTGTGTGATGCATGACATACTATATACTGTTCATACTAATTTCACATCACATTTTGAAAGTTATAAGGGTAACATATTCTGTTCAAAGAATGCACCTGGTAGAAGCTTCAAACAAAACATTAAGTTGGCAAATCATATCAAGTCAAATATCAAGGGGTAAAAAGAACAACTGAACTTCAGTATAACAAAGAATATTTCCTTGTGCTTGTGAATAATCGAAGCCTCGCATTTGAGAGCCAATACACTGCTATTTCAATAACGCCGTCCAAGTATTGCAAAAACGTAATGAAAAATCCATGGACCCGGAAATAAAAAGTGATTGCGTTTTGTGGACGCAGTGCAAGCCATACTCATACAATCAACTTTGGATGAATGATTTGATAAAGATCTTACCTTCAGTCTCTTTATTTCGTCAGAATCCAATAAATAATTGAAGAAAATTCTATTTCTAAAAGAAATAAAATTTTCTTTCGAAATTTCCTTCCCGGAAGTTGATTTCTGATCGAAATAGTACGAGGCATGTGATAGGACAAAAATCTATACAATACTCGATTTCCGAGCAGTAATCAGTATGAGTCCTACGATTGGCCGGTAGCTTAAGACCTGATTCAAACCATTTTCAATTGGTCAAGTGTGATCACGTGATCATTATTTGAGACTGCATATGCGCAAGAAACTGAACTAAAAAGTTGAACCTCGCGCAGATTGCCCCTAAACTAAACATGCTAAAGCAAAATCAATAGCAAATTGTTTCGAAATTCGCAAGGAAAAGGTGTTTTAAATGGGAGAATATAAGTTATGATGGTATCTGTATCATTCAATGACATACTAGACTTGCAAGAACGCTGATTCAGACCGATAAATAGCAAAAGCAGTGGTACAAAATTTCATCAATTTATTTCATCCAGTGTAAAAACGTGACTTTTGAATTCCCGGGAACATTTTTTCAAGGGACGCAGTTTTTTGAAGGGAGACGCATTTTTTGAAAATCATTACGTCCAAGGGACGCAATTTTGGACAAGCCTACTGAAAACACTGTATATATGATGTATTCATATATTTGAAACATAGATTATTTGAGGGATTGTATTGTTTGGAATTGTGCAATTATATTATATATTAGCTGCAATAAAGAACTGTGCCATATATTGATCTACAAACTCTATGCTACAAGTCTTTTAGCAAACAGATGTGTACCCGTGGAAATAATGCCATGCATAGCCTAGAGATATGATGTTGAAAGAAACCTGTATGTATTGAAACTTGAGAGACAGCAGGCCAATGTGAATGTTCCAAGACAGCTGCATAAAATTGTTACATAGGCGACTGTACCAATTTATAGCAAACTGAACTTGATTTGTTGTATTATTCGCCATCCCGAAAGCTGCGCCCCCTTTTTCTTTATCCTTCCTTTTGCAAATGGCAGATAAGAGGGGCTCTGGCATACCAGAATGATTATTCGCATGTTCTTATGCTTTTTGTTTCTTATGCTTTTTGATAATAAGCTATAAAACTACAGTAAAAAAACTGTCTTAGTGAACACTAGGTGAACACCTCTCTCTAGTGAACACCTGTCTCTAGTTGACACCTTTCCTCCACTCATACTCTATTGACTTCTGTATAAGTGTGAACACCTACTAACACTGAAAGTTTCAAGGTCATGCATTTGATTTGGAGGAAA